CCTGCGCCTCCGCCCAAGCGCGCCCCAGCGCCTCCAGCGCGAAGGCCGTGAGGGCCGGGCCCGGGTAGCGCCTGTGTTTGCGTTCCTCCCCGGCTGCCGCGGCCGCGCCGTCCCGGACGGCTCGGCTCTGGCCCGCCGGCGTGTCTGCGCCCAGGGCGGCGTCCGTGACCACCACGTCGACGTAGGACACGCCGGCCGCGGGGTCGGTGAAGACCACGTCGAGGCGGGCTGCCTCGACAGAGCCGTCCGCCCGAGCCCGGTCCCAGGCGGGCACGAAATTCTCCGTGCCCACGCCCGTTGCGCCCCGGGCCTGCAGCCAGCCGGCGAGCCAGTCCCTGACGCCGTCGTGGCGGTGGCTCCTCCTCCTCCTCCTCCTCCTCCTCCTCCTCCTCCTCCTCCTCCTCCCTCCTCCTCCTCCTCCTCCTCCCTCCTCCTCATCCTCCTCCTCCTCCTCCTCCTCCTGCTTCTCCTTATATTTCTTCTTTTTCTGCGAAGTGTTGCCCCCGCTCCTTCATCTGGGTCTCCTTCTGCTGAGGTTCGCCCCCTCTTCTTCTTATGCCAGGGGCAACAGGTATGATTGATAACATTTTAATTCGTAGTATAAGTATGACTGGTATTATCTCTCGTATTAATGTTCTTACTAGTTGCGTTATTAGTATGATGCATTGAGTTACTGTTGAGACCCGTGTCATGTACATTACTGGTAGCAGTAGTATTAGCATCGCTACTACTAATAACCATACTGATAATATTACGAATAACAATTTAACGAGTATGAGTAGTACTAGCCTTCTCCTTAATAATAATCCTAATGCTGTTGGTAGTATCAATAAAGGTATGAATGTTACTTTGTGTGAGAAGTATTACTGTTGGTATTATCAGCGCCATGCTTAAGTATTCACAGTAATACGATTTTTGTGACAATAATAATTGAAGTATGTTTTGTCCCGCTACTATTACTACTATCAGTATCGATAAGATGTGTACTATTATGACTAATAGTATTGCTTTTGTGATTCATACTTCTTATATTGTGATAAGTACTATTATCATTACTACTATGATTGTGAGTCGTATTACTCGTTTTCTTCTTATTCATACGAGTCTTCTCGCCGTCGCTCAGACGTCCATTCCCCTTGTATATTTCGGCATTGCGCGTGTGATCCAGAATGCTCCTCGATGGTCCTCGCCGGTCCGTGCGATGCCAAGATAAGGAACGCTGAATAATCTCAACAGGTCTTTAGAACCACACCCACCCAATAGTGGAAACGAATTATCCCTTCGAAACCCTTATTGACGGACTGGGGCCCAACCAATAATAGAAAATAGCAACTTCTCCCCGGCACCCGCCGCACAACAACGACGACGACGACGACTACGATTACGACTGAGACCACGACACGAGGACGACTACGTCAAGGAACGAAGCTCCCTCGTGACCCCAACATCGCCCCGGTGCACCAGGAGCACCGGAGGGGCAGCCATGGCAGGACCTGGGCAACCGCGAGCCCCTTTTCCGAACCCGAGGTGCTCCTCATGTCAGCGTCTTGGCTTCATCCCTTCGGATAGTGCCCGTCGACGGGCTCTCGCGGTCTCCCCAGTCTCGTGGAAAAGCTTGACGTTCGCCCACGGGGCCCCGCTAATGAAGCCAGCCAATACGGCCAGGAACTTTTACTTAGCGTGTCTCGGCGGCGGCACTGGCGACAAGCTATGCTGTGCGAGCGGACAGCGTGTAACTCCGCCCCGCGGGCCAGGAGACCGGGAAAAGCTCGGGACGGTGACGCTCGGGGACCGGGACGAGGTTAGCGTGTCGCGCCGAAGCGTGGTGGGCCGGAACCAGCGGCGCGACACGCTAAGCAGACGTTCCCGACTGTAGACGCGAGCAGAAAAAGTAGCACTCTGCCGCGCTTCCGGCTTTGAGAATCGGAGTCCGTAACATGTTAGCTCTCGGCGGCGACAGCGAATCTGGCAACGATGGCAACTCACGAGCAGCTCAGACATCGTGCACGGTCCACCGCGACGCGGTCGGCGCGCCAGCCTGCGGGAAGAACAGGGACGGCGCTGGGGACCACGGAGGGCAGACCTGGCGCGCCGCGGGGCTGCCTCTGCCGTCTCCTCCGCTCCCGACGCTGCCACTCGTCCACACCCTGCTTGTGAAGGCGGTGCGTGGGCGGCGTGAGCGGCGCAGAGCGAGACCTCACCATTCAGACAGCACATCCCGCCTCGCCCTCCCACACCCGAAGTACTCCCCCTCTGCATAGTCATACGCATGCTTCTCCCTACCCTCCTCCTCCTCCTCCTCCTCCTCCTCATCCTCCTCCTCCTCATCCTCCTCCTCCTTCATTCATTCATTCATTCATTCATTCATTCATTCATTCATTCATGGGCCTTACTAACCTCCTCCTCCTCCTCCGCCTCCTCCTCCTCGCTCCTTCCCTCCTCATTCCTCCTCCTCCTCAGCCCTCCTCTCTCCTCCTCCTCTCTCCTCACAAACTCCTCCTCCTCCTCCAAGTCCTCTCTCCTCCTCTCCTCCTCCTCCTCTCCTCTCATCATCTCATCATCATCATCATCATCATCATCATCATCATCACATGCATCATCATCATCCAGCAGCATCAGCATCATCATCATCAGCAGCAGCATCATCAACATCATCATCATCATCATCATCATCATCAGCAGCAGCAGCAGCATCATCAACATCGCATCATCATCATCATCATCATCATCATCATCATCATCATCATCATCATCAGCATCAGCATCATCATCATCATCATTGCGACCCGGCACATATCCGGGCACCCCCAGCGTGGCGGGCGCCGCCGCGCCGTACGGCGAGTAGGCGCTGGCGCCCACCGCCGACATAGGCGCCGCCGCGAGGCCTGGGGGCGTCTCGGCTCCGCTCGCCCCGGCCCACCTCTCTCGGCCCCGCATCCCTGCTCCGCCTCCCCCCTGGTTGAGGCTTCGGGCCGCACGGGCAATCCCCCCAGACACCCTCGGGCCATGAACAAAAATCACAACGGGTGCTTTTTCGCTACGTTCGGCCTCTAGGGGCCCTCACGGGGCCTCGGGACCGTCAAAAAACGATCCAGGATGAAAAACCAAGCCCGGGGAGTGGGTTCGGACCTCTGGGGGTCGCTTCATGAAAAAATCACATGACGTCGGGGGTCTGGGCCCCCAGGGAGGGGCAACGATTGGGGGGGGGGCGCTGGCCTGGGGGGGGATGCCTCGACCCGGGAAGCGGCGAGGCATCGCCGAGGGCTCTGCGGCAGGCCCCCGACAGCGAGGCCGCACCTCTCCTGGGGCGGCCCGGGGGCCGTTGGGCCCCCTTCTCGGCGATCCAATGGGCGATGGCGGGTCGATGCAGCCCGTCCCTTGTGCCTTTCCCCCCCCCCGATCGCTGCCCCTGGCCCAGGTGGGTGTAGTCCCAGCGGGCCTCCACAGGCGCCCCGGTGGGCATGTCTTCCACACCCTGGCGCCGCCTCTGGCGGCGCCCCTGGAGCGCTCCGCGCCACGGGGCCGAGGCCTCGAGGCCGCCCCGCGCTACTCGGGGGGCCTGTCGAAGCCAACTGGGAATACTCGGGGGGGGTTGTTGAGGCCAGCCGTGACTGCCTGGGGGGGCTGTTTGCGCGCAACTCGAAGCTGGATCACCCCCTCCTCCCCCCCTCGCCCTGCCCCCCCCCCCTGCCTCCAGGGCAAAACCGACTCGCCGAGAGCCGCTCCGCCCGGGCCGTTTTGCCCGCGAACCATTTCGCCTGGTGACCGTGCCGCCCGGGCCGTTGCGCCCGCGCCCAGACCGTTTCGCCCGCACCGTGCCGCCCAGACCGCTTCGCTAGCGGACCGCTTCGCCAGCGCATCGCATCGCCGCCTGCCCGCCCGCCCGCCCGCCCCGACCCCCCGTTAGGGCCCGCTCGCTCGCGTGCATGAAAGGCCACCCGCCTCGATGTCCCGCCCGCCCATTTGGATCCGCCCGCCCCTCAGGGTGCCCGCCCGCCCACCCGTCAGGCTGGGCACGCTCAGTCGCATGAGATTCCAATCGCTTCAATACTGTTTGGGAATTGAAGCAGGCTGTGGCATTCAAAGCTCCAACAGGGTGCCTGGTTGAGATGGTGGTTAACCGAAGCGATGGATCGCAGCAGCATGAGCATAAAACTGTAACGTGATGCATGTGATGGCAGCGGAGCGCCCTCACGGACCCAGAGCATTGAAGCGCGCACCGCTGCCCTATCAATAGAAAGCCGGTCCATCACCTCCCACGCCTTGCGGTTCATGGACAAGAGTAGCGGAGAAAGCATTGCAACTACACGATGGCATTCTGCTCATGGATCAACCATTAATGTATCATGCCCGACCCGTGTGAATTAACATCATTCCGCTGTAACTGCTAAACATGTCCGCCACCGCGCTTGCAGCGGTTGGTGTGTGCGCGTCGGGGCCTTACTCTCTTATTCGCCTCGTTTCTTGCGACGCACTGCTGGACTGTGCCCCACCTCCCGAGCATCGATCCCGACACGCGCTCAGTCGCTTGACCAGGCCCACGCGCTTGCCGACCGAACCGACGATGATCCCAAAGCCAGGACGTTCAGGCTATCCATTGTGTTTTCGGACTAATCCGGCCAAAGAGGCCCCCATGAAGCCCCCAGCGACCCGCAAGAGGCCCAAGAAGGCCCCCAAGAGGCCTCCAAGAGGACCCCCAGGCGGCTGCAAGAGTGCCCCAGAAGGCTCCCAAGAGGCGCCCTCCTCCTCTTCTTCCACCTCCCCCAGGAGTTCCCCCAGGCCTTCCAGCAACGGCTCGGGGAACACATGGTCCGACAGCGTGTCCAAGCTCTGGACACAAAGCTCGGTCACACTGGAGCGTCAAGAAGCAGCGGGGGGGCGGTGGCTCGCCGCAGGAGTCTTCCCATGAGGCCACTGACGACTCGCAAGCCGCGCGCGCGCGCGGGCTCCGGCCGTCCGTTGTCAAGGCTCGGCAGCAGTTCGGGCGCGCCCCGCCTGCGAGCGCGCCCAGGGCGCCCGCCATGCCGACGCCACCGCCCTCCACCTGGGCGGGCACCGGGGTGCGAACCATTCCAAGGGCGCGATGTCCCATCTGAAGAATCTCAGGGGCACGTCCGCGGGCCGACGGGGGTTATGTGCCGGGTGCTTCTCGATCCGCCATGCAAGAGGAGTCGGGGGGGGAAGTCCATGGGGGCACATGCTGAGAGGGCAGGTCATCACGTTCAGCACTGGGTTCAGCCGGAAACGTTGGAACCTGCTGTGCAAGCTACAAGCTGTTCTTGGGACGTTCACCCAGAACGCCATGGAGAGTCCGTTTGCGTTTTGCTTTGCTGGGCATCGGACATCTGGGCAGTATGGTTGCAGGTGTCGGGATACTGATGCGATGACCGTCCCAATCCCCTTCCAAAACCAGAACCCCCGTTGCCCCCGATGTGTTTGCAAAGCCCTCGGGGTGGTAACAGAGTTCGTTTGGCAGGTGGCTGGAGGCGCGTGCGGTTTCCTGGGGGGGTGCTACGGGGAACAAATGATGAGTTCGCATGGAAACGTAGTGAAGCACTGTACGTAAGGATGCGTCTCCCTGATGTGTTGACCTGACGGTGATTGGTTTCTTCAGTTGACTGCCCGGCTACTATTGGATTCGAGTGTTGTTGAAATGCACACGCACGCATGTCCCTTCAACGCGCGAATGAATCCAAACCACGGAACGGCGCAACACGTTGCAATTGCATCGACTTTCCACGCACACACACACACACTCACACACTCTCTTTCCATCACAGCACGGCAGAAGCAATCCGCACGGCTTTCGATTTGTTGGGGGTGCTCGACAAACTAAATGGAGCGAAGTAGAGGACAGGAGGGCGGGGGAGGGTACTCACGGCTGAAAGCGTTTCAGGATGAGCGCGCCGGAACGGCCAGCTGGGGCTGAAGTGACCTGGCAATGGACGCGGGACGGCATCCGGCCACACCAGGGACCGAAGCCAAGGCTACAGGCGCTGGACACGTGAAGAGCAGTGTGAACCAGTGCAGCAGAAAGAAGGCCCACGAGGCGGCGGAAGCGGGAGCATCCGATTGTCCGTCACGTTGTCGGGAACGTCAGGCTTCGCTGCAGAGGGCCGGCGCCAGCTGGATGCCAGACCAAAGTCCAGGCGAATGCACGACAAGCCCCCCCGAGACTGCGCCGAACCGTGTGGGCTGCAGAAAACCGCGACCAGCACCAGCCGCCAGGATGCTGACGACTGCCAAGGCGGTGCAGCTGAGGCTGGAAGCGCCAGCTGGGAACGCGCGGCGGCGGCGGCCCAGGCGGCGCCATGGCAGCGTGGGAGGGAGGAAGAGAAGCGCCCCGCCCAGCCGGCACACGCATCACAGCTGGGCGGGGCGGGCAGCAGCCCAGCCACAGGGTCCGCTGGGCGGTGGCCGAGGCCCCGCCGCAGGAGCGGCAGGGCGGTGGCGGGCGGTGGCGGCCCGGAGGGGGCCGGGCGGGGGCCCGCCCACCCGGCGCCCCAGACGTCCGGCTGCAAAACGCCGTTTGGCATTCGCCGTCGCGCAGCACCACTCAGCGGCCTGTCAACAACCTGACGTCCGGCTGCCTGCTCCAATTTTTTCGACGCGTGGGGCCCGGACGTCTGGACCGCTTCCCCGGGGCTGGTGCTTCGCCCTGAGTCGTTGCTCGACGCGCCCGAGGCCCCAGCGAGGGCCTCTGGAGCCAGAAACAGCTGCCAAACTCCCGCCGCTCCCATTTTGGGGGAGCGTCGGATCTCTGGGGCGCCGCCCTAGGGGTGCCGCGTGCCAAGCAGGGCAGGGGGGGGGCGCTGGCGCGGAGGGCGCGAGCGCGACAGGGGGATAGGCAGCCAGGAGGCGTTCCGCTGCAAATAAGCAAATGATTGGCGCAGTCGCACTGGAACATGGGAGCGTCCAACGCGTTCTCCTCTTTTCTCTTCTCCTCTACTCCTCCTCCCCCCCCTCCTCCCTCCTGCCGTCACCCCCCTCACTTTGGCACACCCCTCACACGCCTCGTGGCCCCATAGGGAGCTCCACCGAAGGCCCTAGTGGGGGTGACCGCATGCGGTCCCCACATCGGCACACCCCTCGCAGGGTTCGTGGCCCTATAAGGAACTCCACCGAAGGCCCTAGTGGGGGGTGCCCGCATGCGGTCCCCACGCCCATTTCGGCACATCCCTCACACGCTTCGTGGCCTATAGGGAGCTCCACCGAAGGCCCTAATGGTGGTGCCCGCATGTGGTCCCCACACCCACTTCGGCAAACCCCTCACACGTTTCGTGGCCCCATAGGGAGCTCCACCGAAGGCCCTGGTGGGGGAACTCGCATGCAGTCCCCACACCTATGTCGGCACACCCCTCACACGTTTCTCATTGGAACATGGGAGCGTCCACCTTGGAGGGCAAGCGCCCCGGCCAGGGCATCGGAATGGAGCAAGCACAAGTTGTTACCAAGCAGCGCGCCGCCTTGGAGGGCTGCATGCGTGCCAAGACACCGGAATGGTGCCAACACCTGTGGTTGGACACCGAGACGACCAAGGAGCCAGGCCACCTCACAGAAACCAGGAGCAGGCGAGCCTTGCGGGCAAACCAGCAGCCCCCCGAGAAGAAAGGAGGCGGGAGGAGGGTCCCAGAGCCAGGGTTTCAGAGTCTGGCGCCGGGTCGCGGCGAATGCCAATCCCCAGAAGGCCAGGTGAAGACAGGGGCCTGCAACTAGCCGAGGCGACCGACGACTGAACGGGAACCAGAGGGGCCCATCCCGGGACCCGCGCGTCAGGATGCGTCGTCCGAGGCACGACCCTCCAGGCGGTCGCCGCGCAGCTCCAGCACAGCCTACCAGCAGCCATCGTGGAGGGGCCCGCCAGGCGCCCCGCACACGGTGCCGCGTATCAGCCCCATGCAGGCGCGGCAGCGGACATCGTCGTGCCAGGCTTCAGGTTGCGCCCGCCAGGTGGTCAAGCCAGGCCCTCTGGCTCACGAAGGGCCGAGCGCGGCAACGTCGCAAGGGCTGCGTGTATTTGGGCAGCGCGCTCAGGGCCCAGGCAATGTAGAGCTCGAGGTCACACAGCACGACGTTGTCCTGTGCGTTACCCGTCTCACAAGCCGCTGACGCCCCCGCCTCCTGCGCCACCTCGGGGGTGAGGCGCGTCGGGCCGGCGTCGTGCTCCGGAAGGGCGTCGGGAAGGGCGTCGGGAGGGGCGCCGGGAGGGGCGCCCGAAGGGCCGTCGGAGGGCAAGGTGTCGGGAAAGGCGTCTGGGAGGGCGTCGGGCAGGGCGTCGGGTGGGGCATCGGGTGAGGGGCTGGGTCAAGACACCCTCCAGACAGCAAGCCGTCTAGCTCACTCCCACCCGCCCTCCCAACACAGAAGTAACACCCGAGCCTCAGCATGTTCAACGGTCGTCTTTGGATAGACAGCTACTGGGAACCAAAACCGAGCCCATGTGCGCGACGCTGGGGCGAGGTGCGCCACGCGTGCCATGCGCGCCACGCGCGCCACGTACCCCTGGGGCCCGAGCGTGCCAGGCACGCCTGGTGCGCCAAATGCGCCACGTGCTTCCGCGTGCGCCAGGTGTGCCGCATACTTCAGCCGCGCCAGGTGCGCCACGTTCGGGGCACGTGCAGAATGTGTCAGGTGCGCCTGCGCACGTGACAGCACACATCGGGAAACATGCCGGCCCCCACCATCCTTGTCGAAAACCAATGCCCATCATTGTGTCCGGTGAGCCTGCACACAGCAGGCCATACGCCACCACCCCCGCCGTCCCTGACAGAAACCACTTGACAGAGCGCCAGCAGCAGCAGCGGCAGGCGCTGGGGCCGCCCGCGCCAGCGCCGAAAGCGGAAGCGCCGCCTGGCCGCCACCGGCCACTGGAAGGGGGCCAGCAGCAGCGGCGGCATCCGCACCAAGCCAGCCGCCAGCCGCCGCGGACACCGCAACCGCCACGCCCGGCGGCTGGGCGCGGGCGGAAGCGGCCAGGCGCTGGCGCCGCCGCAAGGCAGCACCAGTGAGGCCAGCGGCGCCGCCAGCAGCCATGGACCAGGCCCTGCGCGCACCTGAAGCGGGGGCGTGCTCGAGCCGAGATGGCCTTGAGTCAGAGCTTGAGCCAGAGGGGCTTGAGCCAGAGGGGCTTGAGCCAGAGGGGCTTGAGCCAGAGGGGCTACGGACACACACACACACAGTAACAAACAAACAAACAAACAAACAAACAAACACACACACACACACACACTCTCACACACACGCACACACGCACACACGCACGCACGCACGCACGCACGCACGCACGCACGCACGCACACACACACACACACACACACACACACACACACTCACACTCTCACACACACACACACACACACACACACGCGCGCGCACGCACTAACAAACACACACACGCACACACACACACACACACACACACACACACACACACACACACACACACACACACACGCACACACACACACACACACACGCACAAACACACATGCACAGTACGCTCATGTTGCACGTATCAGTTATTGGCGGGTGGCCCGAACGGACTTGCCCAGAGGTTGGAACTGAACGGCTTCGCTTGACGGTCGGATCGGCATGGCTAGAACGGCATAGGTGAAACTCCACGCTGGCGGGGAAGCTCGGGTAGGCCCGTGCTGAGATTATGATGCGGAAGAGATGATGGTACAGTCGGAACGAAGTATAAGATCGAGGTCAGTTCGGGGAGGGTGCCCTAATATTATTCGTGCATGTTGGGCGTTTTTGTGAATCCTTGTGAGCGTACCCTCGGATGCTCTGCGTGCTTTGGTGAGCGCAGGCTCTCGTGTTCTTGGAGGATGCTATTATATTCTAGGTCCGTCTGTACACCCGAATACACCCACCCTCTTGATGAGCTGGACAGGACAGTAGCAGACAGCTGGACTTTTGTGGGATCGCAATGTCGATAGTGGCGGGGTGAGGCAGGGGGACTCACACAATGACACTGGCTGATCACATCTGCGCGAATGGGGCTGCATGCAACGGGGTGCTCCTGCTCAACGACCCTGCAAAGCGAATGCCGCAGAGTGGCTCCGCTAGAATGTGGGGACGGAATATGACCAGTACACGCCGGTCGAAAGAAGCGGGTAAAACATGAAGTAGGAAGTCGGATTCAAAAAATCATCTCAGGCCCTCCCAGAGAAGAACAAAACACAGCAAAAGCAGATCGGTTCTTGAAATCCGCCGATCCGGCGTGTGAGTTTCAAAGACCCTCAGATATAGCCTGAGCCTCAATTCTTGAGCTTCAGCTCTGCTGGGGGGGTGGGTGCCGGGGTGGCTCTGCCGGGGTAGGGGGGGGGGGGGGGGGGGGGGCAATTTTGGTGGCAAAATCGGAGCTCCAGCTCACTCCGGGTCGGCCCCTCGCCCCAGAGAGCTCGAACGCGGGCTCAAAAAAACCCAGCGACCGCCCAGACGGCCCAAGAGGGCCCTGAGTGGCCGAAACATCGCTCCAAGACGCTCAATATGTTCCTCAGACAGCTCCGGAAGCCTCCGACGTACCCTCCCGACACCTCCTAAGAGTGCCCGACGACAGAAAATCTGTTCCCTTCCCTTAGGAAAACGAAAATGTTTCGCATTTTCGCTTCTTCGGCCTTCGCAGTGTCCAACACGGCCCAAGAGACCCCCAAAACAGGCCCAGAGGCTCTCAAGAGGGCCCCAAGTCGGTCCAAGAAGGGCCCAGGACTGCCCGGGAGGTCCCCAAGACAGCCCAAGCGGGCCCCAGGACAGGCCCAAGAAGCGCCCAAGAGGGCTCCATGACGGCCCCAGAAGGCCCAAGACGGCCCAAGACGGCCCAAGAAGCGCCCAGGAGGCACCAAAATGGCCCTAGGAGTCCCCAAGAAGCCCCGAGAGGCTCCAAGTGGCCCTCAAGAAGCCCCCAAAAGGCTTACAAAAGCGCTCCCGAAGGCTTGAAAATTACCTCCTACACACCCCCAGGAGGCCTCCAGGATACCTCCTACATGCCCCCCAAGAAGCCCAAAAGGCCCCCAAGAGGCTCAACAATCACCTCCAAGACGCCCCCCCCAGGAGGCCCCGAAGATGCGTCGTCGAGGCCCCTCAAGAAGCCCACTCAATGCCTCCATGCTGTTTCCAGACCACTTACGTTTGAACAAGCGCGCTGGGGCGAAAGCGTCCTTCTGACAGCGGGATCGTCCCGGATCGGCGGCACCAGCCGGAGGCCTCTACAATAGTAAAGCGCTTGAAGTAGACTGGGATCTGAGAGTCCAAGAATACCTACCTTCAACGACCGACGAGTACGGTCCTGGTGAGGCTCTACTCGGCTGTTAGATTTATAGTGCTGAGCTCAGGGAAAGCGTTGGCTTACTGGGCATGCGGACGCGACTTGCTGAACGCGCACTGAGCTAAGCAGAGGCTTGTTGCGGGGTCCGGGGCTAGGACACGACAGCCCCTAGCAAACAGCTGGGTGCCCTAGTAGACTTAGCATGAAGAGATAGGCGACCCCTCCACCTGGCAGAGGATGAGAAGGACAAGATGGTGGTGGGGAGGGGGAGGTGTAGTGTTCCCCTTGCTAGGGATGCGGTTGAGGATGAAGGTGACGCTCCCACCCACCCACCCACCCACTCGGGGTAGTTACAGTATATGCCCCTTCCCCGATTGACTTGAAAAGCAATTGATTTACGGCTGTGCTCTCCGCCTCCTTCCCCTCCCCGACGGGCGCCTGCCACATGGAGGCGAACGGTTTCCCGGTCCTCCCCTCGATATCGCTCTGGTACGACACCCTGGCGCCCTCCACAATGTGCATCTCGGCCCCAGCGAATGTCCTGGCAGTCCGTCAACACAAAGAATGGCAAGCCCTGACAGAAGTGTGGGCGATGGCATATCGATGGATTTGATTTGGGATCGCTTTGGAACCCGCTCTGACTTCGCAAGTTCTCTGTCAGGAATTCGCCCAAGCTCTTCGGATGTGCACGGACCCGCGAGGGCGTAAGAGGCATCTGGCAAAGACAACGCGGCTAGCTTTTTGCCCGGGAGTGGCGTCACCACTGCTCTCGAGTTAAAATCGCCTTCTTCTCCCTCCCCCTCGTCCTCCTCCTCCACCATCTCCTCCACCATCTCCTCCTCCATCTCCTCCTCCTTCTCCTCCTCCTCCTCCTCCTCCTCCTGCTCCTCATCCTCCTCCTCCACCTCCTCCTCTTCCTCCTCCTCCTCCCTCCTCCTCCTCTCCTCCTCCTCCTCCTCCTCCTCCTCCTCCTCCTCCTCCTCCTCCTCCTCCTCCTCCTCCTCCCCTCCTCCTCCTCCTCCTCCTCCTCCTCCTCCTCCTCCTCCTCCTCCTCCTCCTCCTCCTCCCCCTCCTCCTCCGCCTCCTCCTCCTCCTCCGCCTGCTCCTCCGCCTCATCCTCCTCCTCCTCCTCCTCCTCCTGCTGCTCAGGCGCTCGTCTTCAGAGCCCGCGAGCACCAGCGGCTCGTCGCGTCCACGGGCGGCCTTAGAAAGGCGGCATCGGAGATGCTGTCACACGCTACCCAATGGCAATACCGTTGGGGCTTACACGGGGCTGTCCCAACATGCAGAACGTATTGTGATCATTCTTGTTTTCGTCGTTTTGCCGATCGGCACGGGCCCTCGCACCCCCCCCCTCCCGCCCCCTCCCATGGAGTAGATGTTGGCTGTTTTTGGCGCCTGTTTCGAGCAGGTGGAGCCTCCCCCCACAGGACGCACTGCTGCAAACAGTCGCACTAAGCAGAGGTCCGGAGCCAGACCCCCCCCCCCTCCCCCCCCTCTTCGATGTCGAAACGCCGACTAAGAAAACGCTCACACTGCTGATGTCGTCTAGGTCCGCGCGCTCGCCATCGCTGATTCGCAAGTCGACGAGGCGGATCCACGTGTCAGCGTGATCAGCTGCAGGATGCACAAAAGCCAAAGGGCCCGCGACTCCGTCTTCTGCAGCAGTCGCGTGAGCGAGACCTCTTTGCCAAGTCCGACGCCTGCGATAGAAGATGACCTGCAACTCATCGAATCCTTTTGGGCGCCCACGAGAAATCGCCAGTGATTAGGACGTCCCCCACCTCTGGCACGCTTGCCCTGGGATCGGCCTTTGGGGGGCCAATGTCCAGAGTCCTGCAAGCCAAAGGATTCGACCAGCTTCATCCGCAAAGGGGGCCTGGTGGGCTTCAAGGGTCCACTTTTCAGGCATGGCACTCCTGTGAGGGGCATTCTTGGGCCATCTCAAAACCATTCCTCATCTTCCTCCTCCTCTTCCTCCCCTTCCTCTTCCTCGGGATAAATAAAACTTGTCCTGCTCCACCTCAAGTTTCTCTTCACTCCCTCAAACCATTGGAAAAAAAGGAGAAGAAGAAGAGAACAAATAACAAAAACAACAAAAACGCAACAAACAAACACGTTTGGGAGAATCCAGACTGAAGGCGCGCCCTCGCGAAGCTAGGTGATTATTATTATTGTTTGAATGTGTGCTGCGTTTCCGGTGGTTCCCATTGACTATGTTACGAAGGGGAATTCTGATTGGGTGGATGAGGAGGAAGAAGGGAGGATGACGACGAGAAGGAAGAGGAGGCAGTGCAGGAGGAGGATAACAATGACGATGAGGAGGAGGAGCTGGAGCATGAGGGGATGGCGGAGAAGACGGTGTGGAGGAGGAGGAGGAGGAGGAGGAGGAGGAGAGGAGGAGGAGGAGGAGGAGAAGGAGAAGGAGGAAGAGGAGCAGACGATGTTACACACGTGCGAGCCTTCTGGGTCGCGCTTCGGCGCATACCCACTGGGACGCACTCGTGCGATTCTTCTGGGTCGTGTTTCCGCGCGTATCCACTGGGACGCACACATGCGATTCCTCTGGGTCGCATTTCGGCGAATATTGTATCCACTGGGACGCACACGTACGATTCCTCTGGGGCGTGCTTCGGCGCGCATCCACTGGGACGCACACGCGCGAGTCCTCTGGGGCGCGTTTCGGGGATTAGCTGAAAAGGAGGAAGAGGGGGATGAGGATGAGAACGAGGATGAGGAGGAGGAGGAGGAGGAAGAGGAAGACGAGGAGGAGGAGGACGACGACGACGGCGACGAGGGTACAACGCGCTCGAACAGGCACGGTGCACTTCGACTGTGACGTTGGCTTCCCTCTGCAGGTTACGCCCTCTTTCTCACAGAACCAGAGTCAAAGCAAGAGCCAGAGCCAGAGCCAGAACAAGAATCAGAGCCAGAACCAGAACCTGAACCAGAGACTGAACAGGAACCAGAGCCAGAACTTCTGGCGCCCTCTTTCCCCACTCGTCGTGTCCTGATGCCGTAGAAGTGGGGGCATCCACACGAATATGCCCCTTCGGCCATGCGGCGGCAAGGTCCGAGACACTGCGGGTGACCTTGCAACAATGATGCCATGTCTTGGTGCGGCAGAAGGCGACATCGCAAAATGCAATGCCCCTTCGGTCACACGTGGAGCAGCTCAGCCCACCTCAAATGAAACATAAGAAAGTAGCGCCCATCATATACAAGGGCATCCTACAACGAGATGCCCCTGCCATCCCACAAGGGGGCCGACGCCGATGTTATGCTATGATGATGCGGCACCTTATGAAGCCCTTGCCCGTCTTCCCTCCACGAAGTCCCGCAGTGCTCGATCGGCTCAGACCCAGACTGTTTCATCGCATGCGCCTTTCGCGCCCATTCTTCTCTCTTGCGGCTGCCATGTTGGGGGAACGCGATCCTCCCCAAGACCCTCCGCGATACTCTTGGGGACGCCTTTGGGGACGAGAGCATCAATTTCGGTGAACCCCCTCGCGCGCGCCAACGGCATGAAGCCCCGCTTCAATGCTGGCCTCCTGCACGGCCACGTCTGGCAAGACGGTCTGTCGAAGATCGCGGACTTCCTGCTGCACCCATGAAAGTCCACGCGGGCACGAAGATCTCCTACTTGAAGGACCTGCTGATGAACCAGGACCGCGAGGAGATCCAAGGCCCCGACGGGGAAGCAGTCGGTGCCCCCACCAGGCGCAATGACGCCCACAGACAACCGCTCCGCTTGGACACGGACCTTGCGACGAAGTCCAATTTCACCGGCCTCCCTCCGCCGCTCAATCTCAAGAGCTAACCTGTCACCATAGGGCGAATTCAAGACAGTTACGATGCCCCGCACGGCATCCAAAAAGCGCCTAAAACGCCCCCCCCCCAAAAAAAAGTTTGTTCACGCGCGTCGCGTTTCGCGACTGCCTTCCCGGTTTGCCCGATACGTTTGTAGCCCCTTTCGCTTGTTTGCCCGATGCCTTCATGGTGGGGGAGGAGGAGGAAGAGGAGGAGGAGGAGGAAGAGGAGGAGGAGGCGGCGGAGGAGGAGGAGGAGGAGAGGGGAAGAGGAGGAGTTCTCGAGGCCGGGGGATTGTGGAGCCCCTGTGGGTTTCAAACGACTTTTTACAATCTTTCACGTTGCTCCTCATCATTATCATGATATTTCCTCTCTCGCTTTCTCTGTCTCTCTCTCTCAATCTCTCCCACTCCCACTCCCATTCCCATTCCCAATACCATTACCATTACCATTACCATTCCCATCCCCATTCCCATTCCCATTCACATTACCATTACCATTACCTCTACCTTTATCTTTACCTTTACCTTTACCACTATCATTACCATTACCATAGCCATTACAATTGCCATTGTCATTGCCATTGCCATTCCCATTGCCATTGCCATTGCCATTACAATTGCCATTGCCATTGCCATTGTATTGCCATTGCCAGTCGCCACCCCGTTACCATTACCGTTACCATTACCATTCCCATTCTCATTACCATTAGACACTACCATTACCATTACCATTACCATTAGCATTACCAACACCATTGCCATTACCATTACCATTACCATTACCATTACCATTACCATTACCATTACCGCTGCCATCACCATTACAATCCCCATTCCCATCACCATTGCCATTACCGTTACCAGTGCCATTACCAGTGCCATTACCATTACCATTGCCATTATCACTACCACTACCACTACCATTTCCATTCCCGTTCCAATTACCACTACGATTTCCATTCCCATTTCCATCCCCATTACCATGGTCATGACCATTACCATTACCATTGCCATGGCCATTGCTATTGCCATTGCCATTGCCGTTGCCATTCCCATTGCCATTGCCATTGCCATTACCATTACCATTGCCATTGCCGCCGTTGCCATTGCCATTGCCACCCGTTACCAGTGCCATAGCCATTACCATTACCGTTACCGTCACCATTACCATTCCCAGTACCATTACCATTACCTCTGTCATTGCCATTACCATTACCATTGCCATTGCCATTGCCATTGGCCACTCCCATTACCATTACCATTCGCCACTACCATTACCATTACCATTGCAATTGCCGTTGCCATTCGCCACTGCCATTACCATTGCCAGTACCATTACCATTCCGATTCACCTTCCCATTCCCAATACCATTACCATTACCATTACCATTACAACTGCCATTGCCATTACCATTACCATTACCTCTACCTTTACCTGCACCCTTACCCTTACCATTCCCATTTCCGTTACCACTACCACTGCCATTCCCATTCCCGTTCCCATTCACATTCCCATTCACATTCCCATTCCCGTTCCCATTCCCATTCCCATTCACATTACCATTACCATTGCCATTGCCATTGCCATGGCCATTGCCATTGCCATTGCCGTTACCATTACCGTTGCCGTTGCCATTGTCATTGCCATTGCCATTGTCAATCGCTACCCCGTTACCACTATCATTACCGTTACCATTGCCAGTACCATTACCATTACCCCTGTCATTAC